AGTTCCTACCACACCCACCCATAGGTAACCAGTGTTCTTAGTATCTGAGGAATCCTCCAATATATTGATGCATAAAGAAACAAATGGGTAGATTGTTATCTCCCTCTCTTTTTTCACGCAGAGGTAGCATGTGATATAAGTTATTCTGTGCCAGGCTTTTCTCAGTAATTTACCTCAGAGATCTTCTGTGACATGGACACTCGTGACATCACAGGCCAGTTAATTAGTAAAATGTTCCTCAATCTGGTTCGTTTGATATTTGCTGATTATTAGATTCTGATTATGTGTCTTTGGTAAGAATACCACAGCAGTGCGTCTTCTCAATTGCATCTTGGCAAGTGACACGCTATTTTGATTTGTCCCATTGCTAACAATGGTCATTTAATCATTGGATTAAGGTGGTACCTGCCAGGCTTTTTCACTATAAAGCTATTTTTCCCACTGTGCAATTAGTTAGCAATCAATCACATAACATGTGCTATTAAATCTACTATAACAATATTTTCAGTGACATCTTCTGCTATCTTATATACTGCTCTTTTTTAACACAACCTCATGTATATGAATAAATGTCATGTGTCAATTCGGATTTTCTCAGTCTCATCTGTCTCAGGGGTCCTGCCTCTGCAATGTCTACTTCATGAGGTCCTAGGTTCCTCCACCTGAGGCTGACACCCAAGGCTCCTCCCACCACACTAAGCTGTAAAGCCTGGGCTATGCTCAGCTGGAAGATAGGACGGAACCAGTAGGTAAATTCCCTCTCAGTGCCTACGCACCCTTTGTTGGATTGTTCCAATGCAAGACATTTCAGTAAGCCTGTCCAGAGACATCCTGCATGACTGACCAACTGACTTTCTGTGAAGGATCTGTGACCAGCTCAATAACGTAAAACCTAGTGTTTGCTTCTCATTCTTCCCTGTCTTAACTTTTTGCTTCACACTTACTGCCCTGGGATTGTGCCTGCCAATAAAACATTCACACTTAAATTTTGCCTCGGGGTCCATTTACAGAGATCATGGGCTTGACACTATGGGAGAAATTTCTCTTCTATCAGAGTAATAGAAACAATTGTGTTTTTCCTGAGTGATTTTTAAAAAAAATATTATGGAAATTGGATTGTGTAACCAATCATATTTCTCTTTGCTAGGACTCCAAAAGTTTAGGGACAAATGCACAGCCCATCTCTAACCAGTGCATAAGGCAATATGGTGTAGATGTCTGTATTCTGATCTTATATCTGGTTGTATTTTTTCTTCATCCTTCATTTCTTCATTATTTCTTTGTGTGTTTTTTTATAAGAAACTTACAATCATTTGTAGAACATCCAGAAGATAAAGAATGTAGCTTAGAATAATGACAAAAGCACAAAATGAGAGACAGAGGCTATTCTGGGGCTCTCTCTAAATCATGGCGTGACCATGTTTCCATCACCTACAAAATTATAGGTTAAGACTAGGTATCTCTAGGGTTCTGTCCTAAGTTCAAAATTCAATGATTTGGCACACCTGGGTGGCTCAGTCAGTTAAGTATATGCCTCTGGCTCAGGTCATGATCCCAGAGTCCTAGGATCAAGGCCCACGTCGGGCTCCCTGCTTAACGGGGAGCCTGCTTCTGCCTCCGCCTCTGCTTCTGCTCTTTCCCCCGCTTGTGCTCTCTCTCTTTCTCTCTCAAATAAATAAAATCTTTAAGAAAAAATAAATTTAAAATTCAATGATTCATTAATACCAACTTAAGAATTGGAGCACCCTTGACTCCTAACCACAATACCAGGCTTCCCTTGAAGTATGATTCTCTCTCTCTGATGGTAGAAAGAATATGGGCTTTGCACCACCAAAAAGGCTTGGATTCTAATCTAAGTTTAGTAGTTATATGACCGAGGAAGTGAATATATTTTGAATTTTAATTTCTTCTCTAGGCAAAACACATCTTCCAAGTTTGACATAGTATGTGTAAAGCTTCTGAGGCACTCAGATTTTGCCTCCCTCCCTTCCCTCCCACTCGTTTCCCCTCACCCCTTTAAATCTACTTTGGCCATAACTGATTCAGACCATAATCATGGGAAAATAAAATGCTGAGATTATGGGAATAAAGAAAACAAAAGGAAGAGCTCATCAATTTCAAAACTAACTTTCTAAACCATCCCACTTCAGCTTGCATTTATGTTTATATTTCTATGTTTTCTATATATTTGATATATATATTTCTATGTATTTGATATAAATTGTACATATCTATAGTATTTGTACTCTACTCAAACACATTTTAGGGACAGGCAGCATTGTGTAAAGGAAAAATCTTAGGCTTTGTAGACATTTCACCTTCTATACAGCCTTTAGCAAAATACATAACCTTCCTGAATCCGTCTCCTCATCTCTAAAATGGGGCTAATACTACCTACCTGGAAGTGTTGTATTAAATAAATTATATGAAATATCCTAGCATAACATAGCAGGCGCTAAATATGTATTGGTTCCCTTCTTCTCAAAGAGGTTTTCAAGTTCCGTGAGGGCAGAGATCACATGTTGATTTTATTCACCTCAATAAATATTTCCTGGTCATTTAACAAATTACTTTTTAGATGTTTGTTTACCACTGGAATTTCTGGGTTATATGCTGAGCAGTAAAACCCAGGCCTTACCAAACTGTTCACCCTAATTAATAATTAGGGACCGTTTGCTCAGGATGTGCTCAAAATGTATTCTAGCTCATCTCAAAAAATATAAACCTCGTGTTTCCATCATATTAGAGCCAATTATTCTGATGGGTATTCTGTTGAGCCATATGCTAACCTGGCAAATACATACTTTTAAAATAATTATGCCTTTTAGCCCAGAAATTTTACTTCTAAGGATTTACTGTAAAGAATTAGAGATATACTCAAAGACTCATGTTCAAAAGTATGTCCAAAACACATTGTTTATAATGGGGGAAATGGGAACAATAAAATGATTAATAAACTAGCACATATATATAATTCCAATTATGCAAAATAGACATTACACTACATTTTAGAAGAATATTTATATGAGAATTTGCTCAATATAAAGTGAAGAAAACAAGTTAAGAACTATATGTAGATATCTTTTTTTTTTTTTAAGTGCATATGTTACAATAAATAGTACACCAAAAAAGTAAAGTCATTTTTTTTGGTGATACTAGTAATTTTTGTTTTAGAATTTCCTATATTTCCAAATTCTCACAAAATGTACATATGGTTTTTAAAATTTGAAAAACACCAATGACCTTATGCCCACTTTATTTTCAAAAAGGTAAGATTAATATTTAACGCGAGGATAAAAACCAACTTTAGGGACGCCTGGGTTGCTCAGGCAGCTAAGTAAGCATCTGACTCTTGATCTTGGCGCAGGTCATGATCTCAGGGTTGTGAGTTCAAGTCCTGTATTGGGCGTGGAGCCTACTTAAAAAAAAAACAACTTTAAACACAGCTATGTTTACAAAGATTATGGTAATACTTTTTTTCACCTCATTGAGAAGACAATTTTTTTTTAAATCAGACTTTTAAAGCATATATTGAGCTTTTGAAAGGTAACTTTATGAAGTACAAAAAGCAAAGAGTTTTCAGAGTGAAAGCCAGCTGGGTAGCCCTGGTCAAGTTACCTGCTGAGCCATTTTCCTCATCTCTAAAACGGGAGCATAACACCCAAATCACGGGCTGTATAGTAAGATTTCCATTATAGCAATTGTGAAGGAGCCTGGCACATAGTAGGAACTCAGAGTCTATACAAAGTCTCAATGTTCATTAAATGATGGTCAGACTGTAGGAAAACCCATTGAACTTCGGGGTAAATAATTCCAACTGTTCGGCATAAATAAACTACACCAAAAATTACTGTATTTTGTCAGTATTCTCCACCATTTTCACGGACATTAAAATAACAGTAAACATTCACTGAACCCTTAAATCCCAACCTCTTTCACATTATTTAATTCTCGCAAACCCTAAGGATAGTACTGTTTTTTTTTATCCTTTCTTTTTTTAAATTTTATTATGTTAGGCCATTTATAGCTGAGTAAACAAAGGTCTTTAGGAAAACAAAGGTCTTTAGGAGGAGACAAAGGCCTTACGGGGTTAAGGAACTACCCACACCATCCCTACGTGATGGACAAGAGGTTCTGAACTCAAGCTGCCTCCAAAGTCTTAGCCACTACCCACTAACCTACTACTCCATATGCAACATTCAAACTTCAATTCCAAATCCATTTTCTTAGGGCCGCAAAAACGAAACGGAAACAAAACCAAAATCCAGCACTTCCCAAAGTGCTTATTCTCCAAGAACTGCATTTAGCATTTCAGATCCAAGAGAGCTGAAAGTCTGCCCCCCCCCCGGGGGGGGGGGACGCGGAAATCAGTGAGATTCTGATCAATACCGTTACATCAGAAAGATTAAAGACTGCGCCGGGTCTCTGGTGGCAGCGCAAAAGCAACAGAGAAACAGGGAGACCACCAAACCATATTCTAGAATCCATCTAACCTCATCTAACCATATTCTGTACTTGACTTTCTTTGGTAAGTTTCACCTCTTTTGTCTAGTCCTGCTTCTCCCACTTCCTTTAAAGTGGGCTGAAATAAGCGTTACAGAATAGAGAAGGGGACTGTGGTATAAAAGCCCCCAAATCACAGAATCTGTGGGAAAGTGAGTAAGAAACTCAAGAGCCAGGAATCCGTCCTCACAGGTGTAAAATGGCAAGAAACCTCCATTAGCCATGCTGGCGAGAAATCGTGTCCGATCTATAGGGTACACAGCCGAACCCTCGAGGCAGGTGAGCAAACGAGAAACCCGGACCCGCCTCCCTGCCTTTGCAGCCTCTCCCGGACCCTCTCGGGCCAGCGGCCCCAGTGAAGTTTCCCACAGGGCTGTGCGCCGCGCGGAAGTCTAGATCGCTCGCGGCACCGCTGGTTGCCAGGAGACACTGCCCAGCCACCTTCTCCAATCAGGACGCGTCTCTCTGTGCCCAATCACAGAAGCTGAGAGAGCTGTAGTCGGAGGTGAAAGGTCACGCTGCTGTTTGGCGGCCATTTCTCTGGAAGCTCCGCGATTCGCGCCCGCGGGAGTTACGCCAGTCACGAGGGACGGACTACACCTGGGTCGGCGGCGAGTTTCCTGCATCATTTGCTTGTAGTCGCGATGGTAAGGAGGAAGAAGGAAGAGCAAGGGAGAGCGGTCACCAGCCTCGCCGGGCTTGGTGGTTGATTCGCGCGTTTCCCATTCATCCGCGTGAGGAGCCGCGCACCGGGTCGCCAGCACCTTTCTCCCTGCTTTGGGGATCTGAGGCGCGTGCTGTCCTTCCGATGCCTTTCCCTCCCCAGCAGTGCCCGGACCCCTTCCCCTCTTCGTTTGATTGTGAGCCTGAGTTATCCTTGCTGGCTGGGACCACAGGGTCGGGGTAAAGATGAAGCGGTTTTTATGTCTCACTTATCACGCCCAGAATCGGTTTTCTTTCATCATGTTGCGATTCTTAGCCCCGCGGCCCTCTAGAATACAGAGCCTAGGCATTGGAGCATTGATTTGTTCGTTGACCAAATATTTTTTGAGCTCATGCTACCTACCAGATGCTGTTCTGGGCGCCAGAATATAAGGTGAAAAGTACTAAGGCGGACCCTGCTCGAGATTTACTCAGTCGGGTATGAGAGGCAGATTATATTAAATAACATCAACATGTAATTGCAAATAATGTGCAGTGCTAAAAAGAGAACAAACAAGATGCTGTGAGGATGCGCGGTGGTACATTAGAAGAGTGGTCAGGGATGGCATCCCTGGTGGGAGGATTTAACCAGAAATCTAAATGATATGAAATAGGAAAGCCAGCCCCTTAAAGAGCAAGGGGAAGGGTGTACAAAGCACAGGGAACGTGAGCATAGGCCGCAAGGCCGGAAAGAAAGCTTGACCAGTTGGAGGAATTGACAGAAAGCCACACAGCTTGCAAGAACAGTGGTTATGATACAGGGTCGGGAAGATCTCTTAGGTCATGTTAGGAGGTCTGGATTTTACTTAAAAGTGCAGTTGCAAGCCATCGAGGCATTTTAAGCAGAGATATCCCATGATAAATATACTTGCCCTGTGGTGAGTTGGAGAAAAGAGTAAAAACTGGAGACCCATTAGGAGGTTATTGCAGTAGCCCCTCTGTTCTTTGACATCACTCTGAATATGCTAATTATCTTAGAGAGCTTTAGTAGTCAGGTTTCTTGGTTATTTTCTTTGGACTGATGGGTGAGCAGATGAGGGAAGGAAAAGTCTGAATTCACTGGGGGTTACTACTACTGGCTTACTGAATAAACAAACATTAAGTGATTGCCCATTATGTATAGGCAGCTTTGCTAAATCAAATAAGACCCACAAGACCTAGCTCCTGGAATTCAAGTGAAAGACTGTCAAATGCCATCTGTCCCTTCCTTCCTTCTGTATCTTGGTATTGGACTCTGACATCTCTGAATTGTGTGTCCTGAGATCGCCTTGTTGTTTACTCTTCCCTCCTTTCCTCTACCTAGAACAGCCCCTTTTCCTTCTGGAAATACCTTTCATCCTTTAAAATGGAGGCATTTCTTATTTTGGGCAACCTTTCCTTTTGACTCTGGATTGATTTGGTACCCTTATACAAAGCATATCTCCTCTTACAGTATAATGTCTATTTGTATGTGTTTTGCCTCTCTTCCTCCTACTTTGAGCTTGAGGACAAGGAGTGTAATCTGCTTTTTTTTTTTTTTTCCCCACTGCTTTTACCTTGTTTCTTTGTAGCCTGGTACAATGGTAATGTACAGTAGGTGTTCATTGTGTAAGTGAATACTGAATGAAATTGCCTAACTGGGTATTTAAATTTCTCTTATGCTTTTCAACAAATAGAAGTGAAAATTATGTAGTAAAGTGAGAGTGAGTCAAGAACTTGCTTTATTTGGATACGATAAAATATTGGTGATTTGGTAGAGGGGAGTAGTAGGTAATGGAAACTGAGCTAAGGAAAAATAATTGAGTCCTGTTTTTGTTCTTTGTGCAGAGTTTGCCTCTCAATCCCAAACCTTTCCTGAATGGATTAACAGGAAAGCCAGTAATGGTGAAACTTAAGTGGGGAATGGAGTACAAAGGGTACCTGGTATCTGTAGATGGTTATATGAACATGCAGGTAAGCTAAAGAGATAAGAATCATTAAATTCTATTTATTTTGCTCTACCTTAACTCCTCAAAGGTTTAACTGTGATTTATAAGAATGAAATCAACCAAATTGACAAACATAAAACAAAATTCACAAATAAAGTCAAGGTCAGGCAGGATATTGTAACTGTGATAAACTGTTATAAACCTGTAAAACCAAAATTCAGCCACAGAATGGACTTCTAGTGGTTAAAATAAAAAGAACTCCGATATTTGAGTCACAGTGGCATAAGGAAAACACAAATGAGGTTTTTGTTTTGTTTTTTTGTAGAAAAGGCAAAACTCTGCCAACATTTAGCTCTGAAAGAAATTTTTCTTTTTTTTTCTGAAAGAAATTGTCAAGTGAATTTCTTAAGTCTTTTAATGAATGCTAAAGGCATAAAATCAAAGTAATTCAATAAAAGCATTTCTTGAGGGAGAAGACAGGCCAAACCAAAGGAACTGATGAACTGTGACTGAATGTTATGCTAGCTTCTGTAAATGTTTAGGACCAGGTGTTTTTAAAGATTTATTTATTTTAGAGAGAGAGTACCGGTGAGGGGGGGGAGGGATGGGAGAGAGAATCTTAAGCAGACTCCCCACTGAGCTTGGAGCCCAACGCGCAGCTCCATCTCATGACCCTAAGATCATGACCTGAGCTGAAATCAAGAGTCAGATGCTTAACTGACTGAGCCACCCAGGCACCCCTTGTTTTGTTTTTGTAATTGTGGTAAAATGTATCTAACATAAAATTTACCACTTTGACCATTTTCCAGTGTAGAACTCAATGGCATTAAGTGCATTCATGTTATTGTGCATCTATCACCATTACCCATTTCTGAAACTCTTAGCATCGTCCCCAACTGAAACTATACCCATTAAAAAATAACTCCCCTTTCCCTTGTCCCTTGGTAAATGTAATTCTTTCTGTCTCTGTTCTAGCTCATGTAAGTGGAATCCTATAGTATTTGTCCTTGTGTGTCTGGCTCATTTCATTTAGCATAATGTTTTTAAAATTCATCCATGTTGTGGCATGTATCAGAATTTCATTCCTTTTAATGACTGAAATAATATTCCATTGTATGTATATACCACATTTTAATCCATTTTTCTGTTGGTGTACATTTCAGTTGTTTTCCACCTTCCAGCTGTTGTGAATAACACAATGACCATGGGTGTACAAATATCTGTTAGAGGTTCTCCTTTCACTTCTTTTGGATATATATCCAGAAGTGGAATTGCTGGAATTTTTTGAGGAACTGCCATACTGTTTTCTATAGCAGCCGTATCATTTTACTTTCCACCAGCAAAGCCTAAAGGTTCCAGTTTCCTCACATCCTCACCAATACTTGTTATTTTCAGTTTCTTTGATAATAGCCATCCTCATGAGTGTAAAATACCTCATGGTTTTGATTCGCATTTCCCCAGTGTTGAGTGATAACTGCAATCTTTATGTGCTTATTGGCCATTTATGTATCTTTTTTGGAGAAATGCCTGTTCACGTCCTTTGCTCCTTTAAAAACTGGGGTGTTTTATTTCTTTGTTGCTTAATTGTAGTAGTTTCCAGCCAGGTTTTTGATGAAAGAGTTTGAAGTTATATTTTCCTGAAGCATAGGTATTTATGTGACTGATGAATGGCAGATGGATTTTAAAGGTTACTTAGATGGGTGGTCAGTCCAAGTACGAATCCCAAGTATTCCATACTGCTAGTACTTGTAGGAAGAGTACTAACAGGGGCACTTGTAGGCAAAAAGCTGAGATTTTCCTTAATTTAAGAGGTTACCACTTAAACAGATGATGCTTAGGTCCCCAAAGTTCTTATAGAGCATGGTTTTGGCCTGGAAAATTGCTCAAGCAGGAATCATTTACCAAGGCCATAGAAAAATCTGAAGAGTATACCATTCTGCTGAAAATGTTCTAGACTTTGATAGTGGTGGTGATTATACAATTTTATGAATATATTAAAAACCGCTGACTTGTACACTGTAAAAGTGAATTTTATGCTGTGGGAATTATATCGCAATAAAAGAAAGAAAGAAAGAATACCCACGGAATATTTGGTTTTAGAAGTAATGTAGTTCCTGGTGAGCCTGCCAGAGTTGTGAAATGTATCTGAGTAGCCACATTAATGATGTTTTTTAATTTATTTATTCAGCAAATGTTTATTAAGAGCCCATTATGTGCCTGGCTCTGTGTATACACCAATGAATAAAACTAAGTCACTACTTTCAAGGAGTTTGTGTTGTAGTGGGAGAAGGTAATATAATGTGATATCAGGTAATGATAGATTCTATGGAGAAAAAGAAAGCAGAAACGGGGTAGTGACAGCAGTTTGCAGTGTTAGATAGGATAGCCAGCGAAAGGTTCTCTGAGGAAGTAAATTGAAGCAGAGAAAAGATTGAGTGAGCAACTGAAGAGTGTATCAAAGAAGGAAGAGCATCTCAGTTTGAGGGAACAGAAGTACGTAGGCCTTGTGGCAGAAACTTGCTTGGTGTGTTGAAGGCACGGCAAGAAGGCCAAAGCAGAGGCACCTGGGTGGCTCAGTTGGTTAAGTGTCTGCTTTCAGATGAGGTTCAGGTCATAATCCCAGGGATCTGGGATTGAGCCCTGTGCCCCGGGCTCCCTGCTCAGCGGGGAGCCGGCTTCTCCCTCTCCTCCCAGCTTTGTGCTCTGTTGCTATCTCTGTCTTTCTTAAATAAATAAAAATTTTTTAAAAAGGCCCAAAGCAGAATGATGTAGGGGAAGAATGATAAAAAGGTTGGAGTGGTAGTCATAGAGAGCCTTTTAAGTGATTGTGGTTTCTAAAAGTAATAAAGTTTATTACCGTATGTGGAAGGAAACCTAAACATTTTCATGTAGAATTAGAGTTTCCTGAAATAACTATAAAGGTCACTCTGAATTGTTTAACTTTCTCTTAGGAACTTACTTTGCTCTCTTTGTTAGCACATAATTAAAAAAATTACTATTCAGTTCTTTGGTTTGGGTGTTCTAATATAAAAGTATTTGATAATTTAGCCATAGATTTTGTACTCTGAATTTTGTGACTTTTTTATAGCTGAATTTTTGGAAAACTTTAAAATCACAACTTATTCACAAGTTAGAGACTGTTTTCCTCAACATATTGTTTTAATGTCTAATAGAAATGTTACATGACTAAGAGATTTAAAAAATTATGTTGAAACAAGCTTTATTACATACTCTACATCCATCAATGTTAACTTTACAGAATGTTTATATGAAACCCAAAAGTACTACAGTAGTAAAAGAAAGCTAATCTATTAATTATAGGTAATTGTTGGTATAGAAAGGTCTCAGTTAATAAGTTCTCTGACCAATATTACCTAATATTTTAGGTAGTGTTACACTATTTTCCTCCTGTGTTACTATACTAATATATTTTCTTTTGATTTAAAGCTTGCAAACACAGAAGAATACATAGATGGAGCATTGTCTGGACATTTGGGTGAAGTTTTAATAAGGTAACAAAACAGCAGTAGTATATATATGGAGTGACTGGAGAGCATTAGAAATACCTGTTTAAACAGACTAGTGCCTCAATTTCAGAATCACTTTAAATCACAATTAATTTAACATATTCTACAATTAAAGAATTTTGAAATTCTTAAACTTGTCCAAGAGGATGGAAATTTTTTGGTTATTCATCCTTAAGATTTTTCTAGTGATGATAGTAAACTTTCTAGCTCATAGCTGTAACCTTTTTCAGAGGTTTTAGTTGCAAGAGCTTGGTTTTGAATTTCAGTTGGATCTGGCTGCTGTTACGGATTTTTGTTCTATTCATTTTCTTGAACTAGAGTCACACTCTCAAATTTGAGTCATTCCTTTTGGAAGATCATAAAGATACTATTTTATAACATCCACTGGGTGGATAAGTGCCATGTGCTTTTTAACAAACCAATGGTGAAAACATCTTTTAAAAAAGAAAGAAATGATACATTGTAAATTTAGCATTCAGTATTTTTATAATCAAAAATATCTAGCAATAGTAATTCAGATTTTAATGTGGTTTCCGGTTGGAACAACAAAATGGATTGTTTTTCTATTTACAGGTGTAATAATGTCCTTTATATCAGGGGTGTTGAAGAAGAAGAAGAAGATGGGGAAATGAGAGAATAGCATCTTTTGTGGGGAATCTTTTTTATATATATTTCTAGACAATAAACATTTTTTTTTTCAACTTGACTCATGAACTCTTCCTATTCAGATATTTAAATGTAGAGCTCAAATGTTGAAACAGTTGAAAGATTATTCGGAATTAATACTTTAAGAGCCATTCAGCTTCATTCAAGTTGGTTTTCTTTTGTAAGCTCAGTAATCTTTTTTTCTATGGGGGAAAATTATATGCTTCATAAACATTTATGAAAGTGAATTTCAGCCCTTGTAATTCTCTATTAACTGAGACCTTTTAAAAACAACTGTTTCTTTTAAAGTTATTTTTGAACAACTTTTGACATGTATTAAGTTAAATATTTTCTTAGAATTAACATATACGGTTTTATTTTACTTAGTAGCTAACAAATTACATGTTAATTCTCTGTCAGTGTAAGCTAAGTAATGTACATGTTATAGCTAAAATTGAAACATCACCTGAAAATGAAAATGATTGTGGATATAGAGCACAACAGAAATTATAAACTGATATTTAGGCTAAAAGCATTTGGTTTGTTCACTTAAGAGAATTAAGTGTTCTGAACAGAACTCCTTAATGTGAATTAAAAACCAGTCTCACAGTTAAATTCTGAGGATAGTACTAGTGGTTTTCATTTATGTTTTAAACTCCTCAAAACCATTTAGAGTTATACATTGTTAAAATGTATACTCCACAGTGATAAAATATATACTATGAACTGTGAACTGGTTGAAAACAAATGAGATCATTTAAAGTCCCATGTTGTCAGAGAATGCCATTATTGCACTTTAATGGTCATTCACCACACAGTTACACCAATAAAGTAGACTTTGGATGTGTATCCCCAACTGGGACAACTCAAAGATAAAAATGTTTAGCTGTATGGAATTTTACTTGGTATATGATAATAAAAGGCTTCAACAAAAGAAAAGAACTCCCATTCCCAATCCTATAACCACTAGAATAAGTGCTGTCTTCCTCAAATTACTCAGACCAGCATACGGGGCAGAATACTGCCATTAATGGAAACCAGAATCTACAAAATACGCCTAAAAAATTCTGGTAATAAATGTCTTACTGCTTCTATTCAAGTGAAAAAATATTCATCCTCTAGTGATTTTGTTCTTGTATCCTTGACTAAAAGTAGTTCATGTTTGTTACCAGATGGCGGTTTTGAGCGATAGACAAGTCGTCTTCCCAGCTGAAACAAAAGAAGAATACTTAATATTTTTTAGCATAACTATGTTCTGTTGAAACATAAGTAAAATAATAACATTAACTTGATTTTTCCAAGGAATAACATGACTCAAAATAGTAAATAATGAAGGGATTGATAACCTAATGGGTGTCCAACATGCTAGGCAGAGTTAAGTAACAAAGAGAGCACCATAGAAGGCAGGAGACCGAGCGGTTAGGTTTTATGGGAAAGTCGGGAGATTCAGGTAGTCCTCGAAAAGCCTGTGTTTCAGATACAGTCGGCCTAGAAAAGCGCCATGTTTGAGGCCAACATTTCATTTCTCAGGGCCGTAGCAAGGTTCTCTTCCATTGGTTAGAAGAGATGAATTTCCTCTGCTGAACACCAATGGACTGGCATTTAAAAATTCTATTAGATAAAAACTTGAGGAAACCACGTACATCATCTTAAACACTAGTAATCCTATTGGCTCTTAGATGTGTTCCCACCAGGAGAGGCTTAGGGAAAGCCCTTGATTTGTACCTATTCATTCTCTGGGGCATATACTCAAGTATATTATACTACTCATTATTTTTCTCTTTTAGTCTTTTTTCCCCTTACTTTATGTATTTATTTGGTTTTGCTTCTGTATCTGAATTTGTATAAATGAAATGGATGAGAAAGCTATTCTGTTGAAAATGAGATTTGATGGAATATCTCCACTGTGTCTCAGAAGAGGCACTATCACTATGTGAGACTGTCCCCTGCATTGCAGAATTTGACATTCCTGGCCCATGGGAATTAACAATGGCAGTCCTTCCCATCATTTTATCAACAAAAATGTCCTTAGGGACTGGAACCCCCAAATTCCTTTCTTAATATCAGATTTTTTTTTCTCTGTCAACGATCTTTTTGTAACCCTCGTTATCAATACTGTCTGAAAAAGTTGCCAGTGATGAAGTGCCTTGACTAGATAAGAACTTCTGTCAGAGGTCTTTGTACATTGTCAACTGATCAAATGGGCATTATTTTTTTTTTTCATTTTTCTTCCTATTTTAGTTTTCACTCTTAATTTTTAGTCTGCTAATTCAATAAGCATTGAGCATCCACTGTGTGCCAGGCACTGGGGACACAAAGTCATAAAAACTCACTCATGGTCTAGAAGGAAAGATGGATCTATTAAAAATAATCATTTCAACTTGGTGAGCTTAGTGAATAGTAGTATGTATACGTGGAAGGGTGATGAATGGTTAATTCGCCTTTGGGAGAAAGAGGACAAGTCCGGTCTTCATAGGAAGAGCTGAACTAGACAAGTCAGACCCTTTTTAAGGTGAAATGCTTATTTAGATGAAATTAAGATAATCAACACTTTTTGACATACATATTAACAGTTACTGTATTTCAGAAGCTTTTTCAAGTACTTACCTCAAAAGGCTGGTTGTGAGGCACACAAGAGGCATTCACTGTAGGTTAGCTATTACTGTGGTAAGAATCAGTGTCCATAGTAGCTTTGCAGATAACCATGAAATTAGCTTCCCCAAGTATATTTCAGACCTTAACCCAGAGGAAGGAGAGCGGCATATAGAAACACAAGGCCCTCCGTACCCAGTGGGAAGTCATGGACCACGTACTCAGTGACTGCCCAATCCCATACTTATTATTGGATAGGTAATCTTGCAATATAAAGAACCTTGACTTCTGGTCCTGGACCTGCTGCTAAATCTGAAGTGACTCTGGGTAAATCATTTTAACATCAACTATTAATCTCATTATATTTTATAAGGTGAGGATTAGAAGACCCTTCCAATTATATGCAGTTCTTTGGATTTGCTGTGTCCATTGTTGACTGAAAATAGCAAGGCTCATGTCTGTTATTTGTGAGAAGAAGATATACATAAAGACATAGACTATTTCCAGAAGGATGCAGATGAAACTTTAAGAGATTGCATCCAGGGAAGGGAACTAAGGATGACTTAATTTTCACTAAATACTCTTGTATCTTTTGAACTTTGAGCCGTATGCTTGTCATTATGTATTCAAAAAATTAAAGAAAAAATTACCTGGTTTCATGAACCTGGAGCTAAAGAAAAAGAGAGGGGAAAGGTTTCTTTTACTAAAAAGTGCGTCTAATGGAGAACTGTAGACCCAGAAATTTGAATTATCCTCAAAGTTAACAGGGAATGAGAGACCAATCAAAGCTGGATAAATTATATGAATTAGGTATTTTGTTTTTATACCACAGAAGCACTCACATATTGATGTAGCTGGACCTATTGGTAACAAAACACAAACCTTTTTCTTTGGTTGTGCTACTGCTCTTTCCAGAGCAGCTCTTAGCCTTTCCTCCTGGTGTTTTTGTTTTTCTTTCATTTTCTCTTCACGTAACCTGTCAAAAAAGGAAAACATTCTTGTAACTGTAAATCACAGAAAGTAAAAAAAGACCTACATTACTTTTGGGTAATAAACTGCCTAAATATTATAAGATATCCCTAAGAGTTAAAATAAAATAATAATTCACCTTCACCCATACTATGGCTTTTGAATATTCAGGTGGAATCTCAACAACAGATCCCTTTTGTGTTAAGATGGGAGAAAATTGCTTGTCACCATTTTGGAAGAATTAAAATCTACCCAGATCTTGGTCTAAAACAAGCACCTCAGCAAAACCTTCTTGTCACTCTAATTACATTTTAGCACTTCACAGTTAATGTGTACAAGGCCTCTTGAATTAACAGCCAGACCCCCAGTAGCCTTTTTACTACAATATAATGTGCAGAAAAGCGCACAAACCACAGTTTTTATATATATATATATATATAACAACTATATACATATACATAGTTCATTGAGTTACCACAAAAGCGTACTTTTCCAGTTAACCTTTCTGAATGGTATCCTGAAATTAAGACCAAGAAATGCTATTTGTCTTGTTCTCTTTAGGGTTGTTGTGAGGATAAAATTAAATGAAATGACCTATGTAAACTGTCTAGGCCAATGCCTGGTGCAGAATAGACTCTCAATAAGTGATAGCTATTTTATGGACTTAAACAGTTATAACATTTACTGAACATTTTTTATGCAAAATTAGGTGTTAGGTACCTGGGAAAAAACAAAATTCTCTTTTTGATAAGAAGGATAAGCAATTGGAACTAGGTTCATACATCACTATTGAAAATAAGTTTCAATGAGAATATATTTCCGACTGTAGAAAAGATCCAAGCGCTGTTAATGTAATCAGTCATAGGTCATCGTACAGAAGGAGTGATTTTTTTTTTTTATAATTTAAAAAAAATTTTGCTTTAATGAAATCCCATCAGGATCACCTTAATGTATTCTGGACTTTGTTTTGATATGGAGGAAACCGTATCCCCCATATACCAGTAAGCCATAATAAAATATCTAACATTAACGCCTAATGTTTGAATACTTACTATGTGCCAAGCACAAACCCTATGAGATAAGTATCATCATTACTGCCATTTTACAGATAAACTGAGGCTTAGGAGAGGTTATGTGCCCTACCTAAGGTCACAGAGATTGTAAATGGCAGAACCTGCATTGAAGCCAAGCAGATCAGCCATAGTGCTAGTCTCCCTCTTAACTTTTTTTGTTATTGTTGTTATGACATGAACAGCATTCCACCTATGGGCATTCTCTACATGCCACATTATACTAGGGGTCATATATTTATAATCATTGCCTCAAAAGTAGTTATCCTTATTTAACTCGGTATGGAAGTTTGTAAATCAGTGCATTCTCCTGGAAAGGCAGGCAGGCAAGGATGTGGGTATGTCAGGGTGGGGAGGGGGTGCTGTTCCAGGGATGCTAATCCTCATGAAGTTGTCTTGAGGAATCAATGAGTTAATGTGTAGATGC